CTGCTTGATCAAATAAACGAAAATCGAGTTACACCACCTGCACTTCAAGTTACACCTACTTTTAACAAGTCTAAAATGCAGTCTACTATTTGTAACCAAATTTGCAGAACGCCCAGTGAGGCAGAGCGCGACAAAAAAAAAAAAATTCAGAAACACACTGAACTAGACTATTGCCCCGCCATGAAAATGATGATGCGCTAGTCTTCAAGATGGCGCCGCAAGAGTGGCTGCCTTTCCAGCAGCTCCTATATTTTGTTGCTTTACTTTTACTTTTACTTTTGTTGCTACATTCATAACTTTGCTGCTGTGAATTGGGAATTTCTCCATTGCGAGACTAATAAATGTTTCCTTATCTTATCTTATCTTATCTTATCTTATCTTATCTTTACACCGAGCTCAGACTACATTCTGTTTCCAAATTGTTGGATGAGTCAGGGACGAGGCAACTAGGTATGTGGGCAACATGGCCCCAAACACGGTCCTACTAGACTTGCGCCAAAGTTACGTCCGTTTTTATGTTTTATTTATTAATAGGCGTACCAAAAATAAATGGAAAGTGACAGCTCTCCAACAGTATCAATGTTCAACACAGCAACATCTAAATATGTTCTGGCTCTATATCAAAGCACAAGCCCTAAGGATTTTCAATTATGATTTCCACAACTTATGTTTGACTTTGATCTTTCAGGTGGGGCGAGAGGGTCCGAACATTGAAGAAGTCTACCACGTTCAGCATCTGCCTCCTATAGAAGACCACCACGTCGCTATGAGGCTTGCTGGCGAGACACGGGCTCAGCAAGAGGTCCAAGCAGAGCTACGATGTCAAAAGGACCCCCGTCACCGCCCCTTGTTTCTTCCTCTGTTACTCTCTGACAAAAAACATGGTGATAAAACATTGTCATGATGGTGTTTTCACTTAACATGGATAAGATTGTGTTTTTCTTTCATACGTAGAACAGATAAAGTATAAAAACAAAGCAACAGGACGGGACACAACTGGAAAACAAATCTGTGAGGAGATGTTGCAGCATGGGCAACAGTCAAAGAAATCTTCAGAGGTTCTGCTTGGCCTGGTGGATGGTGCATCAAAATTGAGCATTTTATATACCGGTATATATTTTAGTCTTTTCCATATTTATAATTGAATTATTCCTTGCTTTGCTCTGTCCTCTACTCCAAGGGACTCCACCTCCCCCAGTGGGAGTCTTGGGATGCATTGCAGGATGCAGAGGTCCGGGGAGGCAGAGCTCGTCAGCATTTTTACAGAATCGATCATCTGATCTCCACGATTCCTGTGACTCCAGTGACACCAAGAGAAACGTTGTCAGGGGGGTTCTCCCACTGGAGCTGAGGGGTACAGATGCCTATACAGAACATACAGTAGCATTACAGATCATAACGTTACATACAGTAAATAGAATTGCTCATGTACTCATTTATCTTGTGGCTGGTTGACAGATTTGAAGAATGGCCAAGCCGTTGGGTGCATGATTATCGGCCCTGATGGGGAAATTATAAGACTTTCACTGTATGACAACTACCAACTCCTTGGTGATGATAGTGATACAGAACAGGAAGGTGAGTCAATCACAGGGAAAGTCATTTCCGGGGTCATCAAACACAGCAGCGCATCACTTGGTACTGTCTTAGGTGCGTGGGCCCACATACCAGAGACACATACAGAGAAAGTTAACCATTTATTACACACTATGCCGATATGCCGATTGTATTTGACGATAGACATTTGAGCACATACAGGAGTGACATGGAGGCTAAGAGTCAAGCAGGTTGTCTTTTTCTCGTGTATTCAGCATCTGAAAGCTGACGTATGCCCCTCACAGCTTTCCAGGTTTTGTCTGCAGATGGCGAGACGTTACCGTGTGTCTTGGTGCTGCAACATGAACACTTACACTCTGGTATGTACAATAGATGTGTGTCGTGTTTGGATTTTATGCTTTATGCTTTGTCTTATTTTTTCTTTTTGTATTGTTATTTTGAAAAAAACAAAAACAAACCCCAAAAAACAGTCAACGAACACAATGTTCAACAAGGTTGCTATCAAGAGCAATTCGGGGCTTTGTACCGAAGTAGTTCCTTCAGTTTAATTCGTCCCATGACCAAACTCATAATTTCACATTTCCTAATTGAAATTAATTGACCCCCCCCCCCAAAAAAAAACCAAAAAAACAACACCAATTATTTTGTTAGGCTGCTGTCCATTTACTATGCCTTGGTTTTTCTTTAGGTAGCCTGTAGAATGCTTGTCCCTTATTTTGTCCCCTCTTGCTGTGGCATCCTGGTGCATAGCATGTGTCTACCATTGTCAAAGTGTGGCATTTCCTCAAATTTAGCGACACATTCTCAATCCTGCAAGAATGGTGTTGTTTACCTTTGCCAAAACATTTGGACATTTGGTCCAAACAGGTGCAATGAAAATCAGGATGGGCAAGCATTTTCGTATGTGCCGGCTACAGAAATAGTGCCCTTTAGACCAACTGTATCCCACTGACACTTTTTTGTATTTTTTGCTTTTGGCCTGCTTTAAAAAAAATAAATGAAAAGGCAATGACATTTTTATAAACACAAATTTATTTTTTTCCCCTCTGTGTAGAAGAAGATGGGGAGCTGAACTTAAATCCACCATCTGGGGATGTTCAATATTGTGCACCCATTCAAACTGTGAGTTTTTCCTATAAATTTGCAATTTTATGACATTTTAACTCAGCTCAGCTTTCTTCATTTAGCAACTGTGGCAGCCAAACAATATTCTGTATTAATTGTTGTTCAACTAGTCTTTAGATCTTCACAAATCTGCAGAGTCCGATATAAGACCAGAAAACAGCCATGTTAATTTGGGTAATCTATTCATATATCCATCATCCATGTACATATCCTCTTTTCCCAAAGCATTAAAGTCAGTCCTTCTTCTTTTAGTGGTTACACCAAATGAAATCACAAAGAGAGCAGATCCGATGCAGGAAACCCAAGACAAACAAGATGTTAAAAACAAAGTTGTGAAATCTTCACCAAGGGAACAGTTGGAAGAACTTGCAGGATGTAGCACTGAGGAGAAGGACGAAAACCAGTTTGAACATCTGTCAAAAGCCACTTCAGGACTGATTGACCAGTTTGATAACGACATGATTAACACGCTGGAATCTGGACTCGGGTATGAGTTTTATTCTATAGAATTCAGTTGTAAAATGGAGCCTCCAAAGTGGAATTGTACCACTAGTTGACGCATTGGAAATAATTGATGTAATTATGTCCACCTCATAATGCAGAGGTGCAGGGTTCAATTCTGGCCCCCTGTGCCTGTGTAGGTTTTCTCCGGGTACTCTGGTTTCCTCTCACATTCCAAAAACATGAATGGCAGTTTAATGGAACACTCTAAATTGTCCCTTGGTGTGATTGTGAGTGCGACTAGTTATTCGTCTATGCCCTGCGATTGGCTGGCAACCAGTTCAGGGTGTACCCCACCTCAGCCCAAAGACAGCTGGGCTAGGCTCCATCACGCCCGCGACCGCTGTTGTTTTCGTGTATTTTGCAGCATTTTTTGGTCTGTGCTGGCCCAGTGGCACTACACACACAAAAATGGTAAATAAAGAACAAAACACTTCTTTTGGATGACTTTTGAGTCATATTTTTCTGAAAACTTTGGGTTAACTCCAAATACAGTAAAATCCCACCATATTTGAATTTTGACCTTTGCCAATTCAAATACAGTATATCGACGTTAAGTTTCCACATTCTCTGCATTATGTTAGTTATGTAAGTTATTCCAGTTATTATTCTGAAATTTTCAAACTGTACAGTAATTTTGTGTTATCCACTGCATTTGTTCTCAATATATTATGTGTTGAAATGCGTTTGTATTCGTGTGTTTAAAGACCGTTAAAAATAGTTTAAGAACTGGAAATCTTATAAAAGCAAGCCTATGGTGTAAATCAAATTGGGTATTTCTCTTTCATGGATTTTCACTTATTGCAAGATGGTCTGGGACATTATCCCAGTGATGCAGTGGGGTCAACTGTATTCCCATTGTCTTTTAACTCTAGTTATTTGAAGAAAATTCACCGAATCACTCTGTTGTGCTCAGGCCAAAGCAATACAGTAAAAGTATTGCTTCGCCAAGATGATATCATCTTTGTGCCAAGGAACTATGTTGACAAGCGTTAAGGAGCTTCATGAAGTCAAAATTTGTGCTTTGCTACCATTTTGTGGCCTTTAAAGGTTGGCATTACCCACAAATTTTCGCGATTTTTTCACTATGCATGACAGGGCCCTGTCCACTGTTTTACAGTGCCACTGTTGATGTATTCAATTTTGGAGGTTCCACTGTACCTTCATGTGATTTTTTTGGAAAAAATAAATAAATAAAATAAAAACCTCTGTATTTGTGACTTTCCTTTGGCAGTACCACCTTCATCCAGCAGGGTATTGTCACTGGAAAAACACCAGTAGAGAAAGCTACGGTGGGACTGAAGAAGGACGCAGAAAGTAACAATGCAGAGGAAGCTGCACGGTGAGGGGAAAGCACGGATGATACTCACCCTTTAATATGATCAGAATGATATGCATTATATTGAACTGTGTAAGACCTGTACATTCACATTTAATGACATCTGGTCATGCAGGGAGAAGGGTGTGAAAGCTGTCAAATTACAAAAACAGATGCAATCCAGAAAGAACAAATCTGGAAATGTGAGCAAGCAGAAAAAAGAAGAGAGTGATGCTCGCCTGACTAAACACCACATAGACGACAAGCGGACCAAGAAAAATGCAATAGAGACTCGAAAACATTCTTCACTCACATCTGAGGTGAGGAATCTTGAGGTTTATTGTCAGTTTTGTTATTATTACTATTTTTTTTTGTCTTCCGCATGATACAGTTTCAGAAAAAGAAGAGAGGCATCAAAGAAAGACAGAACGGTAAGATGAAGAAAAAGGAAGCAGCAAAAGAAGAGAAAGGAAGAAAGGAAGAGTTGACCCGAAGAACACAACAAATGAAACTAAATCACAAAGAGGGTAACACAATACCACCGCATATGATTCAAGAGTATTGACAACAGGGCAAATGTCCCTCGTTTTCAACTTTATCGATTCGTATCATAAGCTGTCGAGGTTCATTTTGCTGCATGCCTGAAGAAGGAAGGTCAAACAGTCGTATGGCATTTGATTGATGTATTACACAGTACTTAGTGACCTTTTTTTATGTTACACTTGACAAATAATCCATGCATTAAAAAAACTAATACTAAAACGATTAAAATCTAAAAATGAAGCATTTCGAGAAAAAAAATATTACAAATTAAAACGAACTGAATTTAAAAATAAAAGTCAAAATAGAATCAAAAATAACGATGCAGTGATCCCTCGCTATTTCGCGGTTCGTTTATCACGGCTTCAGTGCATCGTGGATTTTTTCAAACATATATGATTTTTTTTTTTTTTTAAATATACATGGAGTACAGTACTGTATATGTTGCTCTATGTGACTTGCTGTTGTTTTGCAGCTTCTCGCGGACCGTTTTTGCGGACTTAAAAAAGGGACAAGGAGTGGCTAGACTATATACGTGAACAGATCCAAAACATTTCCCTGTAGAACTGCGGATAGACTCTTGCACGGGAACTTTCCCAAATGATTCCTGCAAAGTTGGATGCATAGAATTATTCTGAATGCCTAAGAATGATTGAACTCTAGCCTAATGTGTTTCGGATTTTTTAATAAGTGTGTCCCAGTACCTTTGTCTATTATTGTAAAGTGTCCTTGAGTGTGGTGAAAGGCGCTTATAAATTAAATTTATCATTATTATTATAATTAATATAGTGGATATGGATAGTTAACTGAAGAGACTTAGAATATTGAAAAACTGTATTCATATTTTTCCTGCACATTTACAGATGATCCTAATGTTCCCTCACATAAACGACGAGATGATTGTCTGGAGAAAAAGGAAATGGCTGCTGAACAGGAAACAGGGAAAGGCTTTTCTCTAGAATCCCCCAGATGGTTTGCTGAAAAACCAAATGCTGTCACTAGCATGGAAGACGACAATGTGTGCTTATCCACTGATGATGAACACAGCACTGAGAGCAGTGTCCATTCAGTTCGTTCCCAAATGTCTCCTTCTACATCCTTGGACCTCGATGCGAGGAGCTCCCTGAGGTCTTCCTCCGAGGGTCTATCGGCAGACATGCCGATCCTCACATCCTCTCACACGCAATCGTCATCGTCGTGCTCCACCATCATGGTAACTGAGGAGCAGCTGATGTTAGAACTGATGAAGACTGAGGTTGGTTCAAAGCACGATATAAGACCTTGTATACTGTTTTGAAGTTGATGCGTGGAAGTCATCTTTAGCTATTGTAAAAAAATTGTTTCTGAATAGATAATTAACCCGTGGAAAAGTTGTACAAAAAAATTGTGGCCAGCATAGATGAGCACAGCGAAACATCCCGAAAGTTAAACGTGCGCACACATCAGCAAATCTTGTGAGACTTCAGTTCAGTGATCAGCTGAAGAATTACCCCCACAAGTGTTTTTGCTGAAACAGAAGGATTCAATGGGTGACAAAGAAAAAGTGTGATGAAAGCTGTAGATCAGGAAGTGGATCTCGCCGCAACTAACAGATGCCAACATAAATACCTTTTTTATGGAATAGCGGAAATCAGTGAGCAATTGACGCTCACTAAAAGGAGAACTGAACAATAGTTGTAAAATATTGAATTCTAACAGAGGTAACACACTGTAGGAAAGCGGCCACAAGGCGCCCACATATCAGGAAATTACCAGTCAGAGGAAAGCTGTTTTCCAAATCAAATTAAGGAGTACAAAGACCAATCAGCCCAAACCTCATTTCCATATTGAACATTTCTTAAAATTAAGGAGACAATGAAGCATTAAAAATCACAACTACTTCCAACCAACAAAAATAGCTTGGAAAAAGGGCATCCTGCTCGTTTGCAAAGGATATCAAAGATTCAAAATGAATAAATCATAAAAAGATAGAGTGGCACCTTTTGAAAGATTTCGGCACAATGCACGGATTTTAGACCTCCCGAAGCAATGAGGAGAAGACCCGTCGTCAGGCTGAGCGAGCTGAGATACGAAGGCAGGAGATGGAGAGGAGAACGAGGGAGCAAGAGGAGGTCGAAAGGATGGAGCACCAGGAGAGAAAGCGGACAAAGGATAACATAAGGCATGAGCTGGAGGAGGAACGGAGAAGGAGAGCTGAACATCTCAGGTAAGAAACTTTTTCACTTTGTATGACAGAGCTTTCTGGTTCCACTTTGTTTCTCTACCCATAGACTGAGGAAGCTCGCAGAGGAAGAGGTGAGGAGGAAACGCGAGCAGGAGGAGCAGGAGCGAGCCAGACGGGAGCAAGCGGAACGAGAGAGAGCAAGGAGGCGACAAGGGGAGAGGAGGCGACGGATGGAACAACTGCAGAAGATGAGGGAGGAAGAGGCGAGGAAGAGGAATGGTGAAATATGATACTACAACTACTACTGTACTACTACTAATATAACAATAATAATAAATATTACCATTTTATTGTAGCGGAAGTGGAACATCTACATTTGGAGGAACAGAGGAGGCAGGAGGAGGGGTGCAAGACCTTGCAGGATATGGACAAGAGAGAGACAGATGAGTACCTCACTCTCCAGGAGCTGGAGAAGGAGGACAGGAGGACCAAAGAGGAAGCGCACCAAATGGGGGAAGAAGAACAAGCTTTGAGGGCCGAAGAGTCCAGCGTGCAGGCGGACCTACTCTCCACGTAAGTACTGTAATGTAGTTTTCTTGTGCTGCCATTATCATGTCTTGCTTATACTTGGTACTCCCTGCAGGCAGATGATGCTGTTGCAGCAGCAGACGGCCTTCACAAGGGGTCTGCTGCTGGAGGTCGAAGGGATGGGAAGAACCCAGGGCATCTCCAGGCCGTGGGTCTATTCCTATTTCACTTTGTTACGGCTGCAGGACCTGAATTCCACAAAAACTTAAGAGACCGCGCACTGTTAAAACTGGTGTGTCAAAATTAAAACAAATTGCAAAACACTGGCAGATCGTAGGGGACTCACCGAGCTGGAGAAGTTTGGGGGTGAGGAGTTCCGGGATGATGGTGTTGAATGCAGTTTAGAAAATTTCAGTTTAGAAAAACAAACTGTATGATTAGAAAAAGAAAAGTTTTATTTCACACAAAAATAAGCAAAAAAAAGGACAAATGTACCAAGTGGGACAAATATTTCAAGCAAATTGTTCCATACAATCTTCACATCTCGCATTTGTCACATAACCAAGGTGAAGTCTGCCTACATTTGCCACAGGTAAATTTGCCACAGGCTACACAACGCCGAGTACTTCTGTTATTATTGCAGTGTAAGCGTGCCTGGCACTTAGTCTTTATCTGCTGACTCTCAACTTTCATCTCACGGGTCAGCTGTTTACGCTCTTCCATTTGTTGTTTTTCCTGCATCAGTCTCCTTTTGAGCTCCTCTGAAAGCCCCACCATGAACAATCAGCGACTTTCTTTTGACCCTGTACATGCTGTGTACAAAACATGTACGTTTGTGGCAGCCATGTCAAGGAGATTATAAAACAGAGCCATCGGCCATCTCCTTGTACCTGCACGCACAGAGTAATTGCGCAATTTGTGGTCCATGATGTCGACACCGCATTTGAGATTATTGTAATCATCAACTGTGTTTGGTTTTTGTTTTCGGGCATCCACAATTTCAACTTTTTGATGCATGGTGCTCAAAAGACAAACATTTTTTTTTCTTTTTGGACGCATACACAGTCAGCAAAGCTCTTCCAGATGTGAACACCTGTGTGGAGTGTAACTGGCGCCCCGAGGTTTCCTTTGCAGTTGCTGGTAGCTCCCGAGGATTTTTGTTGATGCTGCCAAGCAGAGTCGTATTGCGCTGAAGAAGCCTGTTCGCCAAAGACAGAGAGGTGACAAAGTTGTCCACAGTTACAGTCCTTCCCTGGTCCAGGAATGGTTCCATCAATTTCAGAACAACATTCTCTGACAGCCTCTCTCCCGTTGGACGAGTGGGATCTTTTCCCAAGTAGGGGATGGCGTTACACATGTATTTAGTGTCCAGATCTGCCGCAATCCAAAATTTGATTCCAAGCTTGTCGGGCTTGGATGCCATGTATTGCAGAAAGGGGCAGCGAACCTTTGACGGAAACAACTGCTCATCCACAGTGACATGCTGTCCTGGACTGTAGGATGATATACAGTTCTGAACGAACTTCTGCCAGATTTCTGAAATTGCAGCAAATTTGTCATTTTGTATGCGTTCCCTGCGGGTGTCCTTGTTGTCAAAGCGGAGGTACCGCTTTATTTCGTAAAAGCGATCACGAGACATAATGGGTTTGATATCTGGGGTACCAAACTTACTGGCCCACGTCTCGCTTGGGACCTATGTAACCCATTGCCGCTCTTCGAAAAAGGATTGCGAGGAATGCCATCAGCTCGTGGACAGTCATCTGCCAGTTGGGGTTGGTTCTGTGGCTCTCGCGGACTGTGTGTTCTCTGATGCTCAGCAACATGTTTACATCCACCAAACACAGGAAACTTTGAAGGCGACTTGTGATTTTTCGAATCACTGGCTTTGTTGGCCCTCCAGATCCGTTGAAGGCAGTTTGTGGGGTTTCAGCAGCAATCAAGTCTCCAACTTTCCATTGGAACCAAACAGTTTCATCTTTCACCGTCTCTGCGGATGCAGGCAGTGTGCCAACATGACCAACTTTTTGTTTTTTACTTTGAGGAGGGTTGCCATAGATTGTGTCTTTCTCTTCATCAGATGAGGCCTCAGTGTTTGAACTGTCCTGCTCAACCACATACTTGACTACCCGTCTCCTGGTGCGCCTTTGGAGGGGACGATCTGCTGGTGCAAACACCAGAGATGAAAGTGGACTTTCCTGAAAATTCTGGGGAAAAAAAAACGCGTGTGTGTGTGTGTGTGTGTGTGTGTGTGTGTGTGTGTGTGTGTGTGTGTGTGTGTGTGTGTG